GTCTAATTTAAATAATTAATATTTTTAAGTTATATTAATTTGATTCTCAAATATGTGGATCCCCAAGTTATTTCATCGCCCAGACGTACAAGAAATAGGGTTTTAATTCATGATTTGGTATTTATAAGTCCTTGTTATGGTGTTGTTTTTATATATACGAAGGGGTTATTTTGTTTGGGATCCTCAACATTTTAATTTGTTCTTTACAGGAATGATATAACACCCTCAAACTGATCCATTTGTTAATTAGATTGACAATGTTACATTACGATATCGATAATGTTATTAGTCCTAATTGGATTATCGAATAGTCAATTAGTTCACCTTATGATTTAGGGACTAATGTCTAAAGATTTTAACATTAGAGATCAAAAATGGAATCACAAAATTATTACAAATTAAGAGATGATATCATAAATCTTGTACAATTGATGGCTAAATAATGATTTGTCTATTTTAAGCTATTAGTATCGATACCGATATATGAATATTGATATTGTATGGATATAATAATGTCGATACTTTTAGTTAGTATCGATATCGATTTGGTATGCAGAAACCCTAGATCATCTATTGGATATCGATAGCAAGATTTGACTATTGATATTGATAATCTAATCTTGTTACTAAAATGATATATTTTAATATGTTTTTAGGTACTCCTACTGAGTTGACGTTGATATCATTTGTATGGTCATACAAAATACACTAAATGATCAAATACAACCTTAAAATATGTCTTTAACCTTTTCTACCATGCACCATTTAGCAAGTATGATTCATTAGTCTACATCAAAACATATTTTAAATATAAAATATTCACATATGATTCATTAAAATAACTATGCATACTAATCACATGAACACCAACCATATTATCAACAAGTTTCATCATGAATTATGCATGATCTCATGCCAAATTCACCTAATTATAGATTGATACTAGGTCTCATTCTTACTACTTTAACAACGTATCTTGCTTAATCTCCAAAGATCATTTAGTATAACATAAGTCATATTTAACATGGCTTAAACAAAACAAACTAATCAACTCAAACATGATTCAAATGCCATGCAAATACACGTTACAAAATCATATACATAAGAATTCAGCAAAAACAATCATTACATTGATTAGGGCCTGATGATGACTAAATAAATAATGTAAGCTTATATATTTTAATGATGTAATCTTAATCATAAATACTATTGGATGACACTTCTATAATCACGATTCAGTGATAGCAATTACAATGTCTATAATTATGTGTAATCAATAATAATAGCAACCGGAGGAAATCCACCATAAAGGGTTCCTAAAATTTTTACTCCGAGTCTCGCAGGAAGTGAAGAAGGTACCTCCTGAAGGGGTACTGACTGCCACTTGACACTATAAATTAGACTTTTCATAACCTGAAATCCTTGACTAATTTCTCACTAACATAAAGTAAAAATGAAAATGCAGTAATTGTGAAACCTCAAGCAGTAAGCCAGTCTTTCCTGCTTCATGGATTGCAGGAATTGGCACCGTTAACATCATGTTCCCAAGAAACATGGTTGAATGACATAAACTGGTGCAAGTAGGGTTTTGATTTTATCAGAAATACCATGTCGAAAAATGGACCACAAGCTGAGACAATAAATTATAAACTGAGAATACATGGAATGAGACGACCCAAAGAGACAGGGAATGATGATGTTATTTTGTATGATGGCACGACGTGAAACATGCACTCATCGTGTCACTGCATTTGAATGTGTGTGCCTCTTTCTTGTCCCTTCTCCACACACACATTACTATCATTTTAAGCTTGCAATCAACAAAATAGTGCATTCCAAAGGTAAAAAGAAAAGAAAATGAGCTTGTTTGACATTTCTTTAGACATTTTTCCGGCAGCGATCTCGATAAAGAATCCATTGTGTTTTGTCATCAAGGACGAAGAAGATAAAAGGAAAAGGAAAAACCAGCAACCTTGAAGTTGAAGCAGGCCCAACAAACTGGAACTTTATTAGGCAAACATCATATTAAAATAATGAACTAAACTATTAAATCACATTTATTACAACCGCATAAACCAACGTGGTTAATTGAATTGTCACCAATTGTTAATATTTGAAGGCTAATTATCCATACAATTGTGGCCGACTTATCAAATAATTACCACACCAATTTACATGGATAAGTATCGCCTTGTACCCTTCTCAACTTTTTACACCACCACTTGTCATTAATTTGAATGCAACAACACATGAAACTAAATCTAATATAGTTGATCCATGCATAATTAATAAATCTTTGTTCTTATTCCCAAACTTTATAGTAAATAAAAGAAAGTCCGCTGCGGCTGCATGTGGGTTTGAAGCATTTGTCAAGCGGTTTCCGTCTTGTAAAGTGGTGACTTAAATGAGATAACTCGAGAGTTGGAGAATTGTCATGGGAATAATACCACAGTACATAATTTCAAAAGTAGGTGCATCGTGCATGTGAGATTCTGGCTCGAACCTTTTGTCGCTGTTTTATTATTAGGGTAAACTACAAGTTTAGTACTCTGAGCATTACTTTTATTTTGTTTTGGTCACTTTACTATTTTTTTTAAAAAAAATCATACATATTTTTATATCTTAGTTTATTTTGGTTACTCGTCGTTAAAAAATTTATAAAACTGTTTATGGGGCATTTTTTTATTTTTTCAATGATGATGTAGCATTATCTTATAGTGACACATTAGCATCGCTGTTGATTTTTTAATGTGGGTGACCAAATTGAACCAAAACCAAACGTTAGAAATGATTTTGAAAAAAATATAGTTGAGTAATCAAACCAGAACAAAAGTGATAGCTGGGGTACTAAACATGTAGTTTACCCTTATTATTAAGAAAACACTATAATATTTTATGGTTAAAATGTACAAATGATTCTTCAACTATATGGCGTTGTCGTGTTAAGTCTTTTAACATATGAATAATTGACTGACCATTTAATAACTTTTAATAATTTGAGGACTCAAAAGAGAAGCATCTTATAATCGAGTGATCATTTGTATACTTTACCCATATTTAATTGTTAGATCTGTATACTATTAGGCATGTGTTCGCTAGAGGTGGGTATACGGGCTACCCGTCTGTTTAACCCGCGGGTTTTGACGGTACGGGCTTAAACGAAGCGGTTTAAAAAGCCCGCAATCATAAACATTTTTGAATTCTAAGGCCTGCGGCCCGTCCATTTAACTCGCGGGTTAAACAAGCTTACCCGCGGCCCGTTAAATAAAAATAATTTTAAATGCTTTAAATGCAATAAAAAAATAATGTTCTAACTTGCTACACCTTTAAAAATGATCCAGTAACTTGAAAAGGAAGGTAACACCGTCAAAAAAATAAATAATATTTAAATTTTATTTTAAATAACCGGAAATGATTATAAAATAATATTTTTTTTTATTTTTTAATCATTATATTCACTTATATCACCAAATTGAAAAACAAATAAAACAATAACCACATTATACTTTTATAAAACACGATTATTCAATGCTATAATATGAAGACACAAAAGTGCTTGCAAGAAGAAATTCAAACAGAAAAATTCAACAAAGTCAAACATTATACAAATCTAACAAATTTTCTTTTGTAAAAGCCTTTAAAAGTTGAAAAGTATGTTTTCAATTTTTTTTTTACTTTTCTTTCTTATTTTTAATCCAAATATTACGTGTCATGTGATATATTATTAGAATATCAAGTGACTTTTTATAATTAAAGAACGAAATGGATAACACACTTCATGAAAAAAATAAAGGTCAAAATTAAATAAAAAAATCTTTAAATACCAAAGTGATAATGATGTAAATTTTATAAGACTAAAATGTTATATAAATCTTTTAATTTTTTTTAAAATGAAGAATAATTTGATACATTGTAAATGAAATACTATATAAATCTTTAAATTTTTAAAATAATGTAAATTTTATAAGACTAAAATACTATATAAATCTTTAAATACCAAAGACAAATGCTCTAATAAATTTAAGAACTACAGTGGTTATAAATAACATCATATTTATATGTAATTTATTTTTTTTCTATAAAATTATTTAAGTTTATTTTCACTAAAATTTTATAAATTTTAAATTAAACGACCTATTGCGGGCTTCGCGGGCTACCTATGGTTATACCCATTAAACCCACGGATTTAATGGTCCGGGCTAAAAAACACGCAATTTAAATAAATTTTAGTTTTTGATATCTAAAATCCGAATGGATCGCGAGTTAAACTTGATAACCCGCTAGCCTTAGCCCATATACCCACATCTGGTGCTCGCACTCTAACTTCAGGTAGAGACGTTCAGATTGAAAGTTGAAACAGGACACTGAAAGAGACAAACAACATGTTTTGAACATTAAGGAACATGACAGTTTAAGAAGCTCTTTTTCTTCATTTAATTATATATATTTTTTAAGAAAAATAATATGACTTTTCAGTATGCTAAAGTAAAAGCAGTAAAATGAACTCGAATTTAAAATTTTAATTAAAAAAATTAGAACTTATTTAAAATATTAAATTAAAAAAATTAAAATTGAAATAACTTCATTTTGAAATTTTTTAACCCAAGCTCAAATATAACACCTATTATTCAGTTATTTCATTTTTCCAATTTTATTTAAAATTTTAACTTATGATTCTCCTAATATAAATTTGTAGTAGATAATTAATTCATAATTTAAATATTTAATATATAAGAAATATTTATATATTTAATAACATGGACAACAACAATCGATAAAAGTAAAGTATAGGAAATATAAAAACTAAAAACTACATTAAATAAGTTTTTATCAGAAAAGATAACATAATATAATTAGGATTGAATACGAACAGACACGAACCTTACTGCTCTGATCACTTGCTAATAAGAAAAGACACGAATCTTAAAAGCGAGAGAAGAAGAGATGTCCATACAAAATAGCATAAGAAATAATAGCACGCTGCTCTCCCTCAACGCCACATGGAGTTCAATATTCGAAACCCATTAACCCTCTTCACTCACTCCTGCCCTTCCATCTTCCTAGCTGAATATGATGATTTGCCTACACTCAAAGCTACAGATGCTGATATTTGTTTCAGACGAGAAGCTATTTGTTCAATCTCACAGGTAAGTATTAAAAAAGGGGTCTAATTCGTGTGTTCATTTTGTTTTGTGGTATAAGTTTGCCTTTTCTTTTTCAGTTTGCTTGCAAATTCGACCCTTTTATATCGTATCTTGCCGTCAATTATCTCGACCGGTTCTTATCCACCCAAGCAATACCGCAGCAACCTAAGCCATGGGTTTTACGACTTGTTGCAGTCTGTTGTGTCTCTTTAGCTGCCAAGATGAACGAAGCCGATTTCTCTCTCACCGACGTTCAGGTAAAATTCTTAAACTTTGGATGTTTTTAACGTTGCCACGACGAATTTTATACGTGTGGTTATGGAAAATTCGTATAGGCCGACGGTGGTTTCATGTTTGATGCACAAACGGTAGAGAGAATGGAATATGTAATCTTGGGAGCATTAAAATGGCGGATGCGTTCGATTACTCCTTTCTCTTTCGTATCCTTTTTCATTTCGTTTTTCAACCGCAAAGACCCTTCGTTAACGCAAGCTCTCAATGCACGAGCTGTTGAAATCATCTTTAAAGCTCAATCGGATATAAAGGTTTTAGAGTTCAAGCCATCGATAATTGCAGCATCGGCGCTTCTGTCTGCCTCTAATGAACTATTTCCCTTGCTGTTCCCCAGCTATCACAAGGCAATTTCCAGCTGTTTATACATACATAAGGTGTCATTGCAGTACAATGTGGTTTGTTTATTAATGTCTTGCTATTAGTGGTAATGAATTCTCGTGCAGGAAAACCCGTTAGAATGCTACAATTGGATGGTAGGGAAGGAGAGAGATGATTCGATGGTTTACAGCTGCAACACGGCAGTCAATGTGCTCGACCATCAATTTTCATGTTCAGAAAGTGAAAATGGAAAAATCAGTGATTATTCGGAAAATCAAACGCCCATATCTCTCAGGTCCAACACTGTTGATGATGAGAGCTAGTTTTCTTTCGGATAACAGAACAAAAAGGGAAAAAGAATGGAAAATGAGAAATGTTGGATGCTACAGCCAGAGACCAATAAGAGAAGTTGATGTCTGTTCCATGAATTGGGGAGTTAAGGGGATTTTTGTTTTCCTTTGCCTTTTGTTTTCTTCAAGGTATCGACATAGACGAACCACTTCATCGCTTTGAGTTGTAGGTTGGATTTTTGTTGATATGTTGGGTGTTACCGTGCTTGTCTCTTAGTTTTCGCAGAAGAATAATAGTGGCAATACTAATATGAAACACATCATGATCAAAAAATGCTTATAATGTTTAATTAAATAATTATGTTAGTCTCTACTGCATTCATACACACATCTTAATAAAGTTAGAAAGCATAATAAGTTATTCGCATCATACATATATTTAATAATATAACACACATCTTAATAATATGATAAATTTCAATGCTTTCGTAAAATTATAATTTTAAAAATAAATTATGAAATTCATATATTTTAAAAATATTTTTTTTCAAAATTATTGTTTAAAAATATTAAAAAATACCAAAACTAAAATTTAGTTATAATTAAGGGGCCAAATGAGATATTTTCTATTAATTTAGCATGACATGTCACCTCTTTAACAATATTTAAGGATCGATGCTTGCTTTTTATACAAAATCTAAAGTTTAATATTTATTTTGTAATTTTTAAAAATTCAATTACGAAAAAGATCATTTTAAGATAGTTTAATGACCAATTATAAAATTTACTCTATTTTATATTAGTGCATATAATGTGCAGCATTTGTTGTAGACTTATCCCTCAATCAATAAATTTTAATAATTAATTCTTCAAAGTTAGAAAAAATTGTCGTAATAATAATAGAATAAAAATATAAATGTGCACCAAACTTTTAGGATACTTGTATTTAGTTATTCAATTTTTAAAACTTGTAATATAATCATTGCACTTTTAATCCCCTTTTATTATTCAAATTGTCATTATTTGTCGTTAATTTTTTTGACATGACACGTTAAAATCATATTCTCAAAAAAATCCTAAGCTTCTCATACCTAAAATTGGTAGCCTTTACTCATCCTTTTGTCATCGATTCTGCCCATGCTTGATAGTTTATCTAATTGAAAAGATCACTAAACTACTCCTCTATCATTCTTCTATTTCTTTCCTCCGGTTCAAATTCAGAAAGTCTTTTAATCTCCTCGAATCCTATTCAAAATTAAAAGCTAAAACTTTACATACCATTGTCAATTGTCAATGAGCTTGAAATGTGAATTATGTTAATTTTCTTGCCAAACAACTCGCCAAGACCGAGATAAGCAATTTTCTTTTTCTTTTCTTCTTGTTTTTATTTTGTTTATTATCGACTGACATTGATGGTTGTAATTGTGAATGGTGACCGAATTGGTGAAAGTGGCTCAGGATTGGTTTGGTGGTGGATTGTAGTTGTGGCTTATGATTATGGTATTTAGAACTCAAATAAAATGATGGTGATGAATGGTTTAATGGACGTGGGATCTTAATTATGGAGGGTATTTTGTTTAGAGGTGACAACAATCAAAAGAACAGTAAACGATGATGGTGCAAGCGAAAAGGATATTGGTGGCTATCAATTAATCTGAGAAACTTGGGGTTTTCGTGGAAGAAGATATCTAAAGTGGCATGTCAGTATTATTTAAGTTTTCAAAATCCGATGACTAAAATACAAATACCCCAAAATTTTGGTGTCCATTTTTGAAAATTTTCGTAAGTATTATTATTTATGTTTATTATAAGTGACGAAACTATGAAGGCCTTGACCTACTTTTTTTTGTGTAATAATAATTTAAATATTTATTAAATCAAGATTAACTTTGAAATTAAATATTTAACCGTCTTATCCTAATTCTGACATTGTTTAGTATTCATGAACCATTACGTATCTATCCCTTTCCTCTTAAGTCATTGATTATGCAATGCATTTAACATTCAAATATGAATGAAAATGCAATGTATGTATGCACTAACTCATCCAACCTGTTACTGTTACAACCAAAAGTGAAACAATTCACATTTGAGAATCTAGAATAATTTGAACTGCCTGTGGGAACATACAGTTTTTTTAACCAACCCTAAATCCAGTCTTCAATCCCCTTTATTTAATAGTTAAGTTGTTCAACATCCTTTGTGCATTTCCTTTTCCATTTATTCAATGCATTGACCCCTATTTCGTTTCTAAGTTTTCTTTCTAAAACCCTAAATTAAGCGTCCATCTGTTTATTAGGATTATTATTGTGTGTGTGTGTTGGGGGGAGGGGGGGGGCTCGAAACATGCAATAGATTAACTGAAGAATTTGAAAACAAATCAAAGGACCACTCCATTACTAAACTCTCAGTTATACAACTGAAAAAAAAAACGAAAAGACAACTTCAACTAGGTATATAATCTATGCTAAGTGCTACCTATAGCATCCAAAATCTGAAAAAGCAAGTTTATGGCCCTCCTCGGATCGACTGAAAGAGCAAATCAGCAGTCTGAGCATCATAGTAAATGTCTGCAAAAGGCGATGGTTCCAAGGATGATGGATAATCATCTTGGCTGTGGTCGTAGATGTTGTCTGCAACAAAGGGCTCGCTCCAGAAATCCCAACTGCTATGAGTTTCACATATATCTGTAGAAGGAAGACAAGTATTATCCTCTACACCGGGCGCAATAACATTTAAGCCATTGCCAGAGAACGACGATTCAGCAGTTGAAGATATTGCTGAAGGCATGGATGAACTCTCTAAGATCACGTTGGCCGGAGTATCAATAAGGATGTTTTCAGTTCCACCTTCAGAATTCTGAGTGACTTCTTGTCTTTCGCATCAGATGTAGTCGGATTTCGCTTAGTAAGCTTCTTCAGATGAGAATGCCAGTGCTTCTTTATTTCATTGTCTGATCTTCCAGGTAAACTTGCAGCGAGGGCAGACCATCTGTATACATCAAATATTATTACTTAAAATTTTCATATATTAGCCTAACTATATTGTTGAATTATGAAAAAAAGTTAAGTTAGATCAAACCGGTTTCCAAATTGTTCATGTAACTTGATGATCAAGGCATCTTCTTCTTTAGTGAAGTTCCCATGTTTTAGTTGAGGCTGGAGGTAATTTTTCCACCTTAACCTGCAACTCCGTCCGTACCTTTTAAGACCTCAAGAAAATTTAGAAAAAGGAATACAATATCATTTTATGAACATTGATCAAGTATATATAAAAAGCACTTACACTTCGTTAGAATGTATCAAAACCCTATCGTTTCCAAATTCCAAGAAAATTTAATTAGGTTTTTCCTTTTTAACAAAAAAAATAAACCCTAGTAAAAAAAAAAACCAAAACGAACTGTGTTGACAAAAAAGGAAAAAAAATATAAAAATAAAGTTCAGACTTGATAATGAAATAAGTTCTCTCCTTGTTTTATATCCAGAAAAAAAAGCAGAACTTGAATCAATATCCAGAAAAAAGTTCTTTCATTTTAGATTTACAGTTTAGAACAAGTAAGACTGTAAGATCATTGGAAATCAGGAAGGAATAGAAAGTATACTAGCAAGCTTAGGAAGTATATGCCATTTGCAAATCCCATACGTGTGGATAAAAGATCTTAGTTTATGATCTTCATCAGGACTCCATGCACCTTGCTTAATTCCAGTTTGATCATAGATGGGAGCTCTCACCATCTTCCTTTTAAGACCTCAAGAAAATTTAGAAAAAAGGAATACAATAAATAATTAATGTTCTCTCCTCCTGGGCAGTTCTGGCTCTCATTTATAGCTCTGATATGAAAATGAATCGTGTTCAACAAGCTCTGAGATAAGTGGGAGAACTTTCTAGGTTAGTGAAGTGAATATTATATGATCTAGTTGATAGGATTTGAATATAGTAAGAACACAACAATAAAAATATATTTAAGGTCAAATTAAGAAAATTTACTATATTATTAAAATTCTATAATTTTAATAACTAAAATAGTAATTGTACCGAATAATAATAATTTTTCAAACATATCATCATATGTATAATATCAATATTATTTGTAAAAATTGTATTTGTATCAAACACTTACACATTACATTAACTAAAATATCCGTGCGTTGTTGTTCATGCATCTTTAACCAACAAACTTGAGTTCAAAACAGGGATGTGGTGGCATCAGGACCTACAAATTTGAGTAAGTTTTTGTTTTCTCATTAAAATTTTAAAAAAGTAAAAAATTAATTATTAACATTATTTATTTATAATAGATTGGTGACTTACCATTAACAATTGTTATTGCATTAACGAAGTGACACATTAAACTAACTTACGTTTGACCGATTATTTGACTCCCCTTCATCATCTTCTTCTTTAAATCCACTTTAAGCCAATCTAAAAATCCACAATTCTACTCTTCCACTTGTACAAGCTGCAACATACAAAAAGCAAAGAAAAATCCAAAACAAATGGCTAATCCCTCTGGTTTTCTCCTGGCCATTTCCTTACTCCTCCTCGGCACCGCAACTCATATCATCGTCATGTTGGCCTCCGCTGTAAGCGGCGTGCACAACTTGAGTTGGGTACCGACGAAGATGGCGAACGAGTTCGGCAGTTGTCAGGGCTCAATGACTAAGTGCATGGCTAACAACATGAATGATGGTTAGAGTTCAACAGGCGCATATTGCAAACGACGAACACACAATACATAAACTATGAAGCTCTTTAGAAGGACATCGTGCCCTACTCTAATAGGGGAGCATCATATTATATATAACTGCCAGCCGAGAGCGCAACCTAACCCTTACAACCGAGGTTGCTGTGCCATTACTCGTTGTTGGGGTTAAAGATTGTCCAACTCGACTCGAATTTCATAAATTCAATTTAACTCGAAAAATTTCAAATAAAGTTTGAGTCATAAACTAGACTCGTCAACTTGACTAACTCGAAATTTTTTAACCCGAGTTGACTCGATCGAATACTTACCCTAAGGCCAAGTACTTATGACCTGTGGACATATT